TAATAAAACTACCTACCATAAGCAATTTACAAGCATCAAAGGAGAATATAAATAAAAAAAATGGAATATGAGAAGACATGGAACCTAGATGTCAGCAAGGCAAATCCAGAGGGCTTTGTGGTAGAAGAAATTAGAAGCTACCCAGGTGAACTTTCTGAATTGTTGCAGCAAAGTAACAAAGCAGATGAATGAGTCTCTAGAAAAACAAATCAGAAATAATTCAAAGATAACTAAGGAAATGATGACTGTAATGAAGGACTTGGTTAGTGAATCTAGAGCAGATACAGATAAAAAATAGAGGAGCTTAGGAAAGTGATGGAAACCATGGATGCTCAATATAGGAAAGAATTGGATTCCATGAAACAGATTCAAACAGATATCTAGGAGATTAGAAATTCTATTGAATGTGCATGCAGCAGAATCAAGCAATGTGAGAGTAGAATATCAGATCTAGAAGAGATCTGATATTGATAGTGATCATAATATATATGATAGATAGTGATCATAAAATGAAAGACTTCTTAAAAATAATAGGAAATCCGGGCATGGTGGCTCATGCCTATAATCCCAGCACTCAGGAGGCTGAGGCAGGAGGATCTCTGTGAGTTCGAGACCAGCCTGGGGGCTACACAGTGAGTTCCAGGGGCAGTCTCAACTACATAGTGAGACCCTGTCTCAAAAAACCCCAAAAATTAAAAATAGTAGGAAACCACAAAAAAATCAATCCAATAGCTGCTAGGTGATGCAAAGAACAATGACATAAGATTGACAGGAATCAATGAAAAAATCAGAAGATAGAACAAAGTCCATAAAATACCCTTTCACAGAAGTAATGGCAGAAAATGTCCAAAGCATGGAAAAGGAATTTGATATACAGATAACAGGTATACAGAACTCCAGTTAGCCATGATCAGAAAAAAAAATCTACTACACTAAAGCATATAATAGTCAAGATCCAAGAAATTCTACAAAGTAGAATATAAAAGATGTTACAGAAAAGAACCAAATCCTCTTTAAAGAAAAGCCTATCAGGGGCCTGGGATTTAGCTCAGTGGGGCTGTGCCTGCTTTACAAGTGAAAGGTTGTGCATTCAATTCCCAGTACCAAAAAAAAGAAAAAAAAAAAAAAGAAAAAAAAAACACTTGGAATCACAGCTGAAATCGAAACACAAATTCTTAAGTCAAGGACAGCTTGGAGTGAACTATTTCAAGCCCTAAAAGAAAACAACCTCCAACTCAGGCCCCAAAGCCTCATGCAGTCATAGTTGGGGCTTTTCAGAGGTGGCTGGATCTGGAGTGTATGATGCTGGGTTCAGATGTGTGATTATTAAATTAGTCCACTGATTGTTTTGGTATAGTTCTGGGTAGGATGAAGGGTGCTCCAACCTGGGTGTGAGTGCTATTCACCCTAAGGATGGGTAGCTTGATTAAGATATAAGGACCAGGGCCTAGGATTTAGCTCAGTGGTGCTGTGTCTTCCTCTCAAGTGCAAGGTCCTGAGTTTGATCCCTGGTAACACACACACACACACACGATAGAAAGGACAGAAAGAGGGTTTTTGGTATTTTGTCTCTTGTTATTTATTGTCTTCTGACTGACATGAACTGTTTCTCCTCTGTGATGCCCCTTTGCCTTGCCACCCTGCATTGGAGCCAGCCAACTATGAACTGAAGCCTGTACAAATTATGAGATAAATAAACCTTTCCTTGTCTAACTTTGGGTATTGGTTATTTTGACTCAGCAACGACAAAAAGTAACTAAGACAATTATCTTTCAAAATTGATGGGATAAGATACTTCATTGAGAAAGAGCACTTGAAGAAACTCATGACCACCAAACCAACATCCCCAAAGTTCTGAAGGATATTCTAGAAAACAACAATAAAGACATCAGTTCCATGAATCTTAATAGAAAGATTCCACCAGACAAGGAAAACAATTATACAGAGGGTATAGAAAGGGAACCAACAACAGGAAAATAACATGACACGGATAAGTCAATACATATCAGTTATAACCATCAATGTAAATGGTCTCAATTCACCAATCAAAAGAAAGATGTTAAAGCTGAGGGTGTATCTCAGTGCTACTGTGCCTGACTGGTGAGCACAAGGTCCTAGTTTGATCGTCAGTACCAAAAATAAACAAACAAACAAACAAACAAAAGAGACAGATGAGCAGAATGGATTAACTACAAAACAAGATCCAGCAATATGCTGCATACAAGAATCATGTTTAATTTAAAAAGAAATTCATAGACAAGGATGGAAAATAATACTCCATGCAACAAGAACCCAGACAAAAGTAGGGGTAGAAGAAGAAAGGGTGGACCTTTTGTGCCTGCCCCAAGGAGGTGTGTACTTGAGCTAGAACAATAAGGAAATCTCAGGTAGAAGGAACAAGAGGAACAAAAGACTGAAGTTAAGCCAGGGATTTAGCTCAGTGGCACCACACCTACCTCACAAGTGAAAGATCATGAGTTCAATCCCCAGTATGCCACCCAAAAAAAGAAAAAAGAAAAAAAATTGATAGTAAATATGATACTCTGACATCAAGATAAAACAGTCTTAATTAAAGAGTGGGAATAGACAGTGCTAGGTTTCCCAATAGGTAGACATTTAATTATATGTATTTAATTATACTTACTTTTTTGACCCCACTTTTGCTTTTGCCAAAGCATTTCCACCAAACCAGACCAATGATTCACTTATGTGCATGCTAATTTTAACTCTTAATAGGGACATGAATTTGAAAACATTATAGATAGGCCAGGTGTGGTGGCGCAGGCCTGTAATCCCAGCACTTGGGAGGCTGAGGCAGGAGGATCACTGTGAGTTCGAGACCAGCCCCGGCTACATAGTGAGGTCCAGGGGAGTCTCAACTACATAGTGAGACCCTGTCTCAAAAAATGTATATAGATATGTACTTCTTACTTCTTAGTATGGGCCTTTTCAAATATACATAAAATTAGACTAGTAATGAGTTACTATTTTCTCACCAATTATCAACTCATAGCTACTTTTACATAATTCCCTTAAACAGTATGGACTTTTAAAAATATCCATAACTTCAATATTATTATTATTGATAAAAACAACAATATTCATGAATACTATGAAATTTCAATTTAATGTTCGAATTTTCCCCAATTGTTTCATTTTTCTTGTGTAATTTGTTTGACACAGGTCTCAAATAAGGTCCATACACTCTGTATTTCATTGATACTTCTCTTACGTCTCTCTTAATTAATTGGTTACCTGATCCTCTATTTTAATTTTAAATTATGAAGGCAGGGGATTTAGCCCAGTGGCACCTCTCAAGCCCAAGGTCCTGAATTTGATCCCCAATACTAAAAAATTTTTTTTTTAAAAAATTGTGGCTTCAATTTTGTTGCTGAGAAAAACAGATTGTTTATCCTTCAAAATCCCTCACATACTGGATTTCCAATGGTGTTAACAAAATCTTTTGTTCCCTCTATTTCCTGTAAATTTGTAGATCTAGAGGCTTGTTTTGATTCAAGATTGATTTTTGGCAGAAAGTTTTCATAAGTGTGGTGCGGATTTTCATGAAGAAATATACTATATGTAGGTGAATCTCTTTTTTGTGATGTTAGCAGTGGTCAATGATCATTGCCTAGATTCATTATTTTACTGACATTTTTTAAGATGGTGAGATTCCACTTTTGTAATTTTTCCTTCATTTACAGTTTTAAAACTCTTACAAAGGGAAAATTTCTCTCAAAAACTACTTGGTCACTATGATTTTGGATTCCCTATACTTCATTCTATGAAGGGGGAATTTACCATATTTTATGTATTTGAATTCAGCAGTTCATTAGAGTTATTATTCTTGATGATTGCTCTATTCTTTCCATTTTTTTTATGGTGGTAGAGATTGAACCCAAGTTCTGGAACAAGTGATCTACCACTAAACTACAACCCTACACCTCTTATTATTCTGTTTTTCTCTCCCTTTATTTTTTGTGTTGGCTCCTAAATGCTTGACACAACTCCAATAATCTTGGATTGCTTTTTGGTATGGTAATCAATAAAAATATGCATAAGTAATTTGAATATTTATGACATGTTAACTGCATGATCACAACTCTAAATTACCATTTAATTATGTTTCATATAAACATATGAAACCACATTTGTCTCCAGTGTGAGTATTACGTTTATATACAAGGTAATCAAAGTTTCCTTTAATTCAATATCCTACAAATTTCTGTCTTTACAGAGAAATAGTCAATACATGATTTCACCTCCTAAACAGAGCATTTACTGTTATCTAAATACATTTTGAAAAATAAAATGAGGAGAAATTTCTTCCTTCTTAAAAATATGTTCCTTTAGCTGTTGGAATAGTTGATAAAAGACATTCTTTCACATTGTGGAGGGAAGTTCTGGGACAATCAATAAAACCTGGTATAATTATGCCAGTCAAACTTGGATTTTTCATTGGGATGCTTCAAAGAGGAGGCTATCCTGTTTAGTTCCTTTGCTGCAATCTTTACTGCCTTGCTTAGCCACTGCAGTAGGTTTTCATTTAGCTCCCCCTTTTCCTTGTTTGTATTTCTTTTCCTAGAGGTTTATCTTTTTTTCCTGTTGAGTTTTGTTTTTGGCTTAGTTTCAACTTTTGCAGGAGCAGGTTTGACCTGAAATCTACAGATCTCTTGGCTCTTTACGGCTTCTGAGCTGAATTAACTTTCTTCATAAAAGTCTTGGGCACCAGAGTGGAAAGGTGGGCTCTGGGTTTATAGGTATTCACAGAGTTAGGCTATCAGGCCGCTGGCAACCCTACAGTCTAGGTTAATGGGATCCATGGTGTAAGAATTAGATGGACCAGATTTTAAAAATTATCTATCAATAATCTATGTATTCAACATTCCTTAGGGCTGGGGATTTAGCTCAGTGGTTCTGGCATCTGCCTTACAAACACAAGGGCCTGAGTTCAATCCCCAGTACCAAAAAAAACCAACAACAACAAAAAAATTCCTTCTTCCCTTTAATAAACAAATGGTAGCATTCTTCACATACTTTTCTCCACTTGGCTTTTTTCACCTACCAGTCTGGCAGGAGATCACATCAAAGTAGTATACAGAGTATATATTCTTCATTTTTATAGCTTCATAATACTTTATCTAGTGGATATATTGCAGTTGATTTAACTAGTCCTGTTGAGGAATATTTAGTTTAGGTTTTACCATTCTGCTAGTACATATCGAGTTGCAATAAATACACCAGTATATGTGTCATAATGCATTTTTCTCCAGTGTTTCTTTGGCATGGATTCCAAGAAGTGAGATGGCTGAGTGACAGGGTAATTGTGCTGGATACTGACCATTTCTCCTCTAATGCAGTGATGTTGCTTTCCATTCCTACCGTCAAAGTATGAGAATGTTTCCTCATAGGCTCATCAAAAGACTGTGTGGTCGAACCTTTAAATTTTGCCAGTCTGTTAAGCGAGAAATCACATAACAATTTAATTTTAATTCATGTTCTTATGAATAAGGTTGAATATTGTTCATATCTGAATTGTTTCCATAATTTCTTGAGTCCTGGCTTAACAGTTTTAAAAACACAACATGCTTGGATATATTATGGTCTTTTTTTCATGCTCAAGTACTATCTTTGGCCAGTAGAAACCTGCTCAGCTTTTCTCTTTTTTTGAGAGAGAGAGGGTATTGTTAAATTGCCCAGGTTGGGCTCAAATCTTCAATTCTTTTCTTGCCTCAGCCTCCCAGAATGCTAGGATTACAATTACAGCACTACCACACTATCACACCACCACACCTAGCTTCTTGTGTCCTTTTGTCATGACTTGAATATTCTTTAGTCTCCATCTCCACCCCAGTAATCTCTGATAGCATCTCTGCTATGTACATGATGCTCTATACTTATCTTGTACATTCAATATACCCAAATTGACATCAACCATTGCTTTAAACCATTGATGGAATAATAATTTTATCTGCTAAACCACGTATCCATGTTCATACTCATATCACTACTTGGCATTATAGTGTATGTGGTATTTCATTGTTTGTCTGTTTCCTCCTGTTTATTCTAAGACCCTGGATCCTAGTTGCATTGAAGGCAAGGAGTTTTGTTTTTCTCATTAATGTATACCAAACGCAGAACAGGGACTGATATGCTAAAGTGCTTGGAACCTTTAATGGCCCTTTTATCAGAAGTTGTGATTATAGCCTCCTACACAAGGAGACTGGTAATCATCCAGACTGAGCCCAAGGACATTTACTCATTCATTTCCATATACTGAGTAGCTTATCTGTTCCAGACAGTATTCTGTACATGATAGCAATGTTTACATTAGCCTGGAGACTGACTTGTTATGACTGCTTTGACAGACTACTGCCCTAACTGGGAACTGATAAACTTCTAGACAGATGCTCAGGCAGGAATGATTCCTTTCTAATGTTAAACCAGAACTAACCTAACAGAGTCAATTAAATTCCTGGAAGTAAAAAAATAGTAGTGGGAGTATTTTCTTCTCTCAAGATTTATCCTGCAATGCAGACAATACTAAAGCTTAATACACTGCAAATGTGTGTGTTTTATTTCTGGCTTATATTTTCAAAAGCTGTCTATGATACCTATGTTCCATGCAATTTATGTCAAAATTATGTCTTTAGGTGTGAGAGAAAGCAGCCATTACTTACATTTGTTGAAGTCCTGTTGTGTGCCAGAAAGTCCTTGAAGATTTTCTCATTATGTTTTCTCTTGGAGTCATCTAGAAGATAAAGCACACTACCACTTATTTTTAAAAAAGAGCAAATCATAAAAAGACTTTTTACTTTTCTTCAGCACCAAAAGTAATTTATCTTAACACAGAAGTATTGTCAGGTACTATCTGCACAGAATTTTCTATTATTCCTTCCACTGTTATACTAGTCCAGGCCTATTTTTCCCACTACATAATATGCCAATCACTGAAGGGAGTTTTGCAAAAGAGTTTATTCACGAGATGGCTGAGGGAGGAGGGGGAGTCCCATGCTTCAAATTCACTGCCACAAGGATAGGATTTGGGGATATTGATGGGATAAAGAAGCAGGATGAATAAAGGACTGGAGGTACTGGTGATTTTTATCATATCTCTCATCTTGGAAACCCTAGGGATGAGGGATTATGATCCTGGATCCCAAGATCTCCCTTCATTTTAACAGCTATTCAGTTTACTTATTATTAAATCTGTAGTCAGATAAAGATATAGGCAGATAAGAGGAAAAGTAAACCAGGGAAACTCGCTTGTGAATCCTGTTAAATAGCGAAACCTGGAATTATTCTAAAGCTTTCCCATGTGTGTCTGAAAGCTGGGACTCTGAGTATTTTAATTTCCCTGGGTGATTGATGCTGGCGAGAGAATTACTTAATTTTTTCAAAATAGTGATCAATATTACTTTTAAAATTACGATTATTGTTTTAAAAATTGAAAACAACATATATGGCAAAAAAGCATTAAAGCCTGACTGAGATGATCACAGCAAATATGTACAAATTATATGTGGCGAATTCATATAATATATGATGCATTCCCAGTAGTCAATAAACAGAGGAGCAGACAGAGTGGGCAGCCTCTAAGACCATCTTCTATCTTCCTGTACTTGTGTAATCCTCATCCCTGAATGCGGTTAGGAGTTAGGAGAGTATAGTAGTTTAAGTTTGAATTATTGTAAAGCTTTTCTTTTTGTGTTTTGAGGGCACAAGTTTCTCTTAATGCTCTAACCTCCTTGGGAGGTTGACATATGATGCTTCCCAGAGAGTTGCTCAATTTGTGTTGTAACAAAGTTATAAAATATAAAATATAAATACCATAAAATTTACCATTTTAATTATTTTTCATGTGTACAGTTCAGTGGCATTAAGTACATTCACACTGGGCTGAGGATGTAGCTCAGTGGTAGAACACTTGCCTAGCTTGTGCAATGCCCTGGGTTCCAAACCCAGTACCAGAAAAAAAAAGTACATTCACATTGTTGTGCAACTATCACCACTATCCATTTTCAGATCAGATTGGGCATGTTCAGGGTGGTATGGCCATAGACCACTACCCAATTTCAGAATTTTCATTTAGCATAAGTGAAATTCTATATCTATTAAATGATAATTTTGTTTTTCCCCTCCTCCAACCCCATTCTACTTTCTGTTTATATGAACTCCACTACTCAATATACCCAAGAATAGTGGATTCATACAATATATATTTGTCTTTTGGTGTCTAGCTTCTTTCACTTTGTATAATAATTTCTAAGTTCACCCCTACTATAACAACTAACAGACTTTCATTTCTTTTCAAGGCTGAATAATATTCCATGGTGTGGATATATCATATTTTGTTCATCCATTCCCCAATCTATGGACATTTGGGTTATTTCCACCATTTGGCTATTGTGAATAATGTTACTATGAACATGAGTGTAAAAGTACCTGTTTGAGTCTCTGCTTTCATTTTTTGGTGTATATAACCAGAGGTAGAATTGTTGGATCATATAATTCTATACTTCATTGTTTGTGGAACTGCCATACTGTTTTCACAGAGGCTCCTACCATTTTACATTCTGACCAGCAAAGCACAAGGGTTCCAGTTTCTCCACATCCCCACCCATATTTTATTAATACATTTTTGTAAATAAAAGCTTCCTAATGGGTATGATTTATTTTTTAAGTGGTATTATTTAGGATTGAACCCAAGGTCTTTGCCCTGAGCTACATCCCCAGCCCTTTTAAAAATTTTTTGAGACAAGTTCTAGCTAAATCACAGAGTATCTTAGTTACTTCTTTGTTACTTCAACAAAATACCTGATATACATAAGTTGAAGGCAGAAAGGTTTATTTTAGCTCACAGTTTGTAGAGGTTTCAGTCCATAGTCAGCTGACTCCAAGGCAGGGTGACTTGGCAGAGGAGAACATGGCAGAACAGGCAACAAAAAGGCAGCAGCAGTGAGCCTCTCTTTTCCTTTTTACTGTTCAGGTTACAAGCCTATTGACTGGTGCCATTCATACCCAGGGTGGGTCTTCTGTCCAGTAAATCCACCCAGGAGCACCTAGAGCCATGCTAATCCAATCAGTGGACTAATCCAGTTACCATACACCCATGACCCAGTTACTCCCAAGCCCCACCTGGGAGCGCATGAGGCTTTGGGGGAGATTTTAGATATAAACCATAACACTAAGTTACCTAGACTGGGCTTCCTGTTCATTGTGGTCTTCCTGTCTCAGCCTCCTAGAGTGTTGGAATTGCAGGTATGCACTGCCATGATTTGTTTCAAAAACAGACTTTATTTTATACTAATTTTAAATTGAAGAGCATATAATTTTAATTACAATATTATTGAAAAATTTACAATACTACATATGGCAGAAAATATGGGTATGAGTTATGTGAAAAGTAGAACATCTGCACACTATGTAGGATTCATGTCTGTAATACGTTAGCTGGACTAACTAACCAATAGATACGTGAGTCGGTGATAACAGAAAATCACTTAAAGAGCAATATTTGTACTCAGTGAACATTAAAATACCAGTGAAAACCAGACATAATATTCAGTGAAAGAGGCAAATTACAGGAGAATATATTTTATAATTATAATTTTGAAGACTTGGTGTATTTTTATATATTTTATATAAATGTTTTTCTTGATATATAAATTATCTACAAACATATCTATGCCTCAAAGTTCTTTATCCCAAATAATGAACACACACGTGCATCTTTCTGTTCAGATCTGTCAGACAGGGGGTGGATATTTAATGTTAGGGTTTAGAGACCAGAGAAAATACTGTATTTACAGGACTGCTGTCAGTGGTTGGTAAATCCCCAAAAGATCTGACTGATGCCAGGGGAACAAGCTCCTCCCTTACTCCCTTCTCTCCTTGAAAATCCTCTATCCTTAGATTTTTAGAACTATTGTCTTAATTCTGATCACCAGGTGGCATCTGTCTTCATCTCCTCCGTTCAATGAAAACGTTTATACATTTTAAAGAACAAACACAATGGTATTTTTGCATATTAGAAATTCATTTTCATTTTTACCTGCAAACAGCTTAGATTTTCAGACAAATGATCTTAGTATATAAATTTGATTTTGAATATAGAATATAAAAATTCCCTCGTTAGTCTTCCACGTGAAGGATATTACAGGCCAGAAGGAAAAAATATTCTGCACACATGTGTATCTTAATGTGTGCGGCAATGAAAATGAATGGTGTAGTGCTCATACATATAAGTTAGATCAAGGGACATTGCGCATTAACAGGTGAGTATTCTAGCTCATCAGATTGAAGAAGCAACATGATACAAAAAACTGTGCAAGTGACACCAAGTCTCTGCAGTTAGGAAACTGCGGATTATATGAGAAGGTTTCTGAGGCTATGGTATGTACCGTATTAAAACAGCAAGGAAGAATCATTTATAAAGAAAGACTGGAATGAGAGATTTTCACTAAAGCAAATTAACTTGTCATACTAAGCATGTGAGTGTCAGTCTATGAAAGCTTGTTATACCAATTTCTGAGCGGTATACTAAAGGGTAGTTAGAACGTGTAGTTAGAATGTCTTTACTGCATCTGAATCATTGTCACATTTTTCTCTCCTCTTGACAAATATCATGCATGTCTTGTTTTATTTTATTTATTTATTTATTTTTTTGGGTACCAGGGATCAAACTCCGGACCTTGCCCTCGAGAGACAGGCGCCAGAATCACTGAGCTAAATCCCCCGGCCCATGCATTTCTTATTTTCGATGGAGTATAGCTTGTATCCACTATTTCATGCTGTAAAAACATATGAAGACAAGATTCATATATGGCAGAGGATGACCAGTGATCTTGTTTATAAACTGCTCCAGCCCTGTTTCCTTCCTCAATAAAAATGTCAAATATTCCATCATCTCCTCAGAAAGGAAATAGACGCAAAAACGCTCACGTTATCTTCTTTTGACAGGAGATTCTTTCAGTTTGAAAATTGGAAGGTTTGTCTTGACCCTGATCTCGTAGGTAGTGAAGCTGGCCTGGCTGACCCCACAGCCTCACAGCCATCTCTAGGAAGCTGCTGGCTAGCCCTCAGGAGGCACTCAGGTTCTCCGTTTTAGAAGTGAGCAGCCAGCGGGCGTTGGCCGCCGTCTCCGCCATTTCGCGGAACCGCAGCCACCGGGGTTCCCTCCGCCCCTCCGCGTTCCAGCACCGCCCCCGCTGCGGGCTACGCGCCGCGATCACAAGCGGAAAAGCACGTAGTGTGGCAGTTCGCCTCCGCGCGAAGCTCCTCCCCCGTCCCTTGAGTTTCCCCGTGCCGAGGGACAGATAGCTGACTCGCCAGAATCCTGCGTTAGGGACCTGGGAGGCCTGGCTGGGACAGAATGGTATTTTAAAAGTTGCGTTTGAAACAGTATACATACGATGATAAAGTGTTTTTATTTTTGTGTAGTGCTGGCGCTCCAACCCAGGGCCTTGCATATACTAGACCAGCACTTTACCATTGAGCTACATCCCCAACTACAGTGTTTTAATTGTTTTATATTGAAAGACTATACAGGATATCTATTCAGGTTTACATGCATTTCTCCCTCCCTTCCCCCTAACCTGTCCACAGTGTACAGTAGTGAGGGCTCTCTGAAGATAGCCTATGGTTCTAGTGTCCCAAGCCCCTTTATAATGGCTTTCCAACCCTTATTGCCGCTTGCCTATTGATAAAGAGAAGAATCTGAGATGTCCTGAAATCAGTTAAAGACCCAAGAACAGAGCGAGGAAAGTAATGAGAAGGCCGTCTTTAAGCTAAATCGTCAAATAAACAAAAGCTGGTCTACATTCTTTTCCTGTATGCTGAAGATTACCCACCAAGGCCACGATGCATTCTGCTCTTGGAGCCTGTAAACCAAGAAGCAGCAAAAACTTCTCTTTACGGATTAATCTTCTGTTGCAGGACTTTGCCCACTTCACGTTGCCCAGTTCTCTATCTACAGCCAAAGTAGGTCTAATGTAATTTGTGTTTTCTCTCTCCAAAATTTTATTATGGAGCACTCTGGCCCTTAGGTCTGGTGGCCATTTTTCCAACTGCTGTCTGGCCCAACTGCTGGTTATCTTAGATACTTTGTCCTTCACCTTTTAGTTAGCATATGTAACAGCTCAAAATTCTTTGGTTTCAGAGACTCCTTGGTCTCAAAAGTTTGATTAAACATCCTTTCCACAGTTGCCCAGAGCAATTTCTCTGAAGCTGGCTCTGATATCATATCAGTACCCTCAGAAGCAATCCACTGCCTACCAAGGGAACTACAAACTCTGTCCCAGCTGGCATTTAAGATTCCAACCACATAGACACAGATTACATTTCTAACTATGACTTCAAAGTCCTATGTGCTCTTGGCAAACTGCATCCTGGGTTAATCCCCCAAGGGACTCCTGCATTCCTCGTGTATCTCTCTAGCAAATGGATAAACCTTGGTCTTTGCAAATACATGGTGACATGCCATAGTTGATCAACTCTTAAGGAGGATTGTTGTCCTTATGTGAATCATGGAAACTGAGTCTCAGAGACGATAAGAACCAGGCCTTGTCTTTGAGAAAGATACTGGAGTTAGAGACATAAGAGACCTAATGATAGCTTGGTAGTGACAGTGAACAGTATTGTTTTGCACTGTAATAAAGAGAGGTGATAAGGTGCTCTCTCCTACTATGTGCAGCATTAATTTTATATTTTCCTGGGATTTTAAGTACACATTTTGTGACTATTAATCCTGACATGTCAACTTCATTGGATTAAAAAATGCCTAGAAGATTAGTAGAGCATACTTCCAGTTGTGTCTGGGTGGGTCATGGAGATGTCACCTTGGACATGATGTGGGATCACGTACTCACTCCTCTCTGGCACTGTTCTCTGGCCATAATTCACAGCCACCATGAACTAAGTATCTTTGTTCTGTTACGCCCTCCTCCTATGCAGTTTCTCTCTTGGTGCCAGCCAACCTTGAACTGAATTCCTTGAGACCATAAGCCAAATTAAACTTCTCCTCCTTTAAATTGTGAGTGCTGGGTATTGTGTCCAGCAATGGGAAATCTAATACACGTTCTTTGTAGAGCACTTGGAAAATACACAAAAAGAAAAACAAACAAATAAACAAAAGAAAGGAAGTAAATCCAAAAATCCCACAACTGGAATAGGCCACCCCATTCTAGAATTTGCTGACATCTAGTGGTAGGTTCAATGTCAAGTTATACCTATAATTGAGAGGTCAAGATAGGGGAAAAAAACCCCATTTCCAGGTTTCATTTTACTCTGGTGCTAATAGGTACAGTTTCCCATTTTTATCACATTGCTTCTTTCTTAAATGTTGATCTTTTAGGGCTCAGGATATGTCTATGTTATACTTATTTGGAACGGTGCATATATATTATGAAATTACAATGCAAATACATACCAGTTCAATAACTACTCTTATGGAGATAAAATCTGTTACATTGTGCTAAAGGGCCAAGGCATAAAGACCAACACCTCTTGGTATCCAAGGCAGTGTTATATAAAGGAAAAAGCTCAGGCTTTGGAATGACACACAGAAGTGAGGAACGAAGGGAAAGGATCCAATATTTATTTAGGAGCACTCCCTACACAGCACTATATAGTCAGACATTTACATGTATAATCACTTCATAGATAGTAATAGAATATATAATTAAGGTAATAAGGAAAATGGAAATGAAAAAATCATTAACCAATCCAAATGGAGTAAGAGAAAAAAGAAAAAGCAACATAGAACAAGCAGAATAAGTAGAAAGCAAATAGTAGAATGGTAGGCTTAAGACCAGATATATCAGTGATTACATTATAGGTAAACAGCCTAAACATTCCAATTAAAAGACAAAACTTGTCAGGCTGGATTTTATTTTTACTTTTTAAAAACTCAGTTATTGAATTTTATTTTGTATTAGTACCTGCTTGCATTACATAATGATTACTTACCTCATAGAGAGTTGTTCCATGTGCATAACACATTTTTTTTCAGGCTGGATTTTAAAAAGAACTATATGTAACTTAGAAGAAATTCACTTATATAAAGCTACAGAAGGCTGAAAGTAAAATAATGGGAAAACACATGCCATGCAAATATTAAGAAAACTATTAAGATTATATTAATGTCAATAAAGTCTATTTTAAAGTAAAGCACTAGGAGGACAAATGGGGCATTTCACAAAGATAAAACTCAACTTGTCTGGAAGATAAAATAATTATAAATTTGCAAGTATCTAGTAATATAACTTCAAAATATAAAAAGCAAAATTTCGTAGCACTTAAAGAGAAATAGTAGCTGGGCATGCTGGTGCACGCCTATAATCCCAGCACTTGGGAGGCTGAGTCAGAAGGATTCCTGTAAATTGGAGGCCAGCTTGGGCTACATAGTGAGTTCAAGAATACCCTCAACTATATAGTGAGACCTGTCTGAAAAAAATCGAAAGAGAATAGAAAAATCTACAGTCACAGCGGAAGAATTTTTAAAACTGTTTTTTATTATACAAACATACACAGAACAAAAATCAGAAAATAAAATGGGAAAAAACCCACAATTTAAATCTCTATCACTAATTTTATTGTTAACATTTTATTAAATGTATCCAACACAAATATATTTTCCTGTGAATTTTTGTGTATACAGTCTATTTTTATATGCATACACAAATGAATAAAAATATCATAATGTACACACTGTCCAGTTACTTTTTCATTGCTGAGATGCAGTACCCAACATGTGTAACTGTAAGGAGAAGAGGTTTGTTTTGGCTCACAGTTTGTGGAAGTTTTATGACTCCAAGGCAGGGTGGCGTGGCAGAGGAGAAAGGGTCCTTGGTGTGGTAGGCAGGAAGCAGAAAGAGATCACAGGAAGGAGAGAGAGAGACTCTTCCAGGCCTCCAATGACCCACCTCCTCCAACAAGGCTTCACTGCCCAGATCACACTTAGTTATAAACTCATCAGTGGACTAACTCTTTGATAAACGTCACACCCCATGAGCCAATCACCTCCTCAAAGCCCCACCTGTGAGTGCATCTAAACCGTAATGCTACTTGTTACCCATTTTTACTTGTGAATAATGTATACCATAAATCTTTCTACGTACAAAATTTGGTTCTGTTATAATTTTTGAAGGCTAGATTGTAGCTTACTATATGAAAGACCATAACTTAACCTATCCTCTGCTGGATATCACGTAATTATAATCATGAAATTATAAGCAGCTCAGCAATGAATAAACTTGAAGACATATTTGAGTGCATTATTTGTCTTACATGTTTTGGGGATGGTTATCTAGAAATTAAATTCATGGATTCAAGACATACACATTTAAAAACTAACATATTTTCATACTTTTATTTAAAAATCGTAGTTTATACTCATAAAATCATGCAAAAGGAATTTCCATTTTTCTACCTCCACAAATACTGGGAAATATACTTCCTTGATTAGTTTTACATTTTAACATTTATTAGTACATATTTGCAGTATGCAATGATTACATTCATCAAGGGGAGTTGATACATGTACATAACATGTCTTAATTCTTTTTTTTAAATTTTATTTATTATTTATTTAAAACATTTTTTGGACCAGGGATCAAACTTGGGACCTTGCAGGTGGCAGAACCATGGAACTAAATCCCCAGCATGTCTTAATTCCTTTCTTTGTTTTTTTTTTTTTTTTTGGTACCGAGAATCAAACTCAGGTCCTTGCGCTTGCAAGGCTGGGGGCCGAACCACTAAACTAAATCCCCAGCATGTCTTGATTCTTATTACTGCCCTTTCCCCTATCTATCTCTCTGTTTCCTATTATCTATTTTCTATTTTGTTCTTTAATTATTTATGCTTTGGGTTTCTCATATGAAAGAAACTATGTGATATTTAAACTTGTGGGTCTGATTTATTTCCCTTGACATTATGATCTCAAGGTGCACACATCTTCCTATAGAACACTGAAGTTTAACCTCCTTTGTGGCAGAGCACTGCTCCACTGTGTATAAATACCACATTTTCTTTATCCCTTCTTCCAAAATTTAGCTAATATAAATTGTGCTGCTATAAACATGGGTATACATGTATCGCTGAAATATGATGTCTTTAATGCCCTTTGGAAAGACAGCTAG